GGAATTTAAAATAACTATGATTAGAACGGATTTGGTGGCTCATGCCTGTAATTCTAGCAGTTGTGGGAGAATCACTTGAGGCCAGGAGTTCAAGAACAGCCTGGGCAACAGAGCAAGACCTCGTCTCTTGAGAAAAGAATTAGCTGGGCATGGTGGTGCATGCCTGTAGTCCTAGCTACTTGGTATGCTAAAGAAGAAGGATTGTTTGAGCCCAGGAGTTTGAGGCGTCAGTGAGCTATGATCATGACACCATGTGCTAGCCTGGGCAGCAGAGCAATATCTTGTCTCTAAAAAAATAAAATAATAAAATAACTAAGATCAATACGTTAAGGGCATTAATGGAAAAAGTAGACAACATGTTAGAATAGATGAGTAATGTAGCTAGAGAGATGGAAATGCCAATAAAGATTCAAGAGAAAATACTAGAAATTAAAAAGAAAACTAACAGAAACAAGGAATGCCTTTGATGGGTTAATCAACGGACTGGACACAGCTGAGGAAAAAGATCAATGGTCAGTAGAAACCTTTCAAATTGAAATTCAAGTTAAAAAAAAGAGTAAAAAATAAAACAGAACATAATATCCAAGAACTGTGGGACAATTTCAAGACAAGTAGCATATGCTAAACTGGGATACCAAAAGAAGGAACAGAGAATAAAGCAGAAGAAATATTTGAAGTATGGCAGATATCTTTCCAAAATTAATAGACACCAAACAATACATCCAAGAAGTTTAGTGGACAATGGGCAGAATAAATACAAGAAAAACCACCACTACACCTAGGCATATAATATTCAAACTGCATAAAACCAAAAACAAAGAGAAAATAATGAAAGAAACTAGAGGGGAAAAAAACACCTTACCTGTGGAAGAACAACAAAAAGAACTGCAGTGGAATTGTCATCAGAAACCATGCAAGCAAGAAGAGAGTGAAGTGAAATATTTAATGTGTTGAAAGAAAAAAACCACCAACCTAAAATTCTTTTTTTTTGTTTGTTTCCTGAGATGGGGTCATGGGGTCTCACTCTGGCTCAGGCTAGAGTGCAGTGGTACAATCATGACCCACTGCAGCCTCGACCTCCTGGGTTCAAGTGATCCTCCAACCTCCACCTCCTGAGTAGCTAGGATTACAGTCACATGTCACCATGCCAGGCTAATTTTTGTATTTTTTTGTAAAGACAGAGTTTCTATATGTTGCCCAGGCTGGTCTCAAACTGCTGAGCTCAAGTGATCCACCTGCTTTGGCCTCCCATAGTGCTGGGATTAGAGTTGTGTGCCACCATGCTCAGCCTAAAATTCTATATCCAGCAAAATTATCCTTCAAAAGTGAAGGAGAAATAAAATACTTTCTCAGACAAACAAAAACTGATGGAATTCAGCACCAGCAAACCTGCCCTTTAAGAAATGTTAAAAGATTTTCTTCAGGCAACTTAGATCTACATAAACAATGAAAGAGGATTAGAAACGAAATAAATGAAAGTAAAGCAAAATATTTATTTTTCTTATTCTTAATTGATCTAAAAGACAACAGTCTAAAGAAATAATAGCAACAATGTGCTAAGTGATTATAGTGTATGAATAACTGAATTGAGTGACAAATGCTCTGCATTAAGGTATATGCACTACATACAAGTTAAGCAGAAGAGTGTTATTTGAAAGTGGACTTATATTGGTTAAAATATATAGTAAAGTTGAGAGAAATCACTAAAAGTTGTTTACAAAAGTATAACTGATACACTAAGAGAGGAGAAAAAATGAAATCTTGTAAAATAATTAAAACCAGAGAAGGCAGAAAAAGAAACCTCGGACAACAAATAAAAAACAGTTATAAACATGCTTGATATTAATCCAAATATATCAAGAAACACTCTAAATGTGAGTGGTCAAACTACATCAACTGAAGACAGAATTTGTCAGAATGAATTTAAAAAACCCAACTAGGCCCAGCGCGGTGGCTTATGCCCTTTATCCTAGCACTTTGAGAGGCTGAAGTGAGCAGATCATTTGAGCCCAGGAGTTTGAGAACAGCCTGGGAAACATGGTGAAACCCTATCTCTACAAAAAAATATAAAAATTTGCCAGGTAGAGTGGCATGTGTCTATGGTCTCAGCTACTCAGGAGGCTGGGATGGGAGGCTTGATTGAGCCCAGGAGGCCAAGGCTGCAGTGAGCCATGATCATGCCACTTGCACTCCAGTCTGGGTGACAGAATGATACCCTATCTCACTCCAGCCTGGGTGACAGAATGAGGCCCTATCTCAACAAAAAAGAAAAAAAAAAAAACCCAACTACATGTTGTCTACAAGAAGCCCAGTTTAAACATAGGACTGAGAGGTGAAACATAAAGCAATGGAGAAAGATATGCTACACTAATGAAAAGAAAGCTGGAGTAGCTATATAATTTTAGACAGAGCTGACTTCAGAACAAAGACAATACCAGAGATAAAAAGGGGCATTACATAATAATAAAGGGAACAATTCTCCAACACAAAAAAAATCATAATTATTTATGTACCTAACAATAGAGTGTCAACATATGTAAGGCAAACACTAATAGAAATGAAAGGAGAATAGACAAAAATCCATTATTAGAGTTGCAGACTTCAATAACCCCTCCTTCCAGTCAGTAATTGATAGATTAAGCAGGCAGAAAATCAATATGGATATAGTTGATCTGAAAGGCAATACTAATCAGCTTTAGCTAAATGACACTTGACCTAATTTACAGAACATGCTCAACAGCAGAACATCATTTGTTTTTTAAGCTCACATAGAAAATTCACCAAGAGAGAACATATTCCAGTTCATAAAAGATACCATGACAAACTAAAAATAACAGAAATCATAAGTATGCTCTCAATAAAATTAAACTAAAAATCAGTAAGAGGAAGATAGATGGAAAACATATCTGGAAATTAAACATACTTCTAAATACCACAACTCAAAGAAGAACTCTCAAGAGAAATGCAAAAATATTTTGAAATAAATGAAAATATAACACATTAAATTTGTGGGACAATATGATATAGCAAATGATAGAAATCACAAGTGCGCTCTCAATAAAATTAAACAAGAAATCAATAACAGAAAGGTAGATGGGAAACTCAAATATCTGGAAATTAAACATACTTCTAAATGACACAATTCAAAGAAGAATCCTCAAGAGAAATGTAAGAATATTTTGAGGTAAATGAAAATACAACATATCAAATTTGTGGGATTCTCCAAAGCAGTGGTTAGGGAAAAATTTCTAGCTTAAATGCATATGTGAGAAAAGAAAAATCTACAGTCAATAATCTAAGCTTTCACATTAGGAAAATAGAGAAAGAGGAGTAATTTAAGACTATAGAAAACAGAAGAAAAGATATAATAAAAATTAGAGAAGAAATCAAAGAAACTGAAAACAGGAAAACGACAGAAGAAATCAGTGAAACCACAAGCTGGTTCTTTAAAAAGAGTAGAAATAGGGGAGGGAGGGTGGAGGGTGGGGAGTTGGGGATAGATAGCAAGGGGAGAGATGCCAGGTGTAGGTGATGAGGAGGAAGGCAGCAAATCACACTGCCACGTGTGTACCTATGCAACAATCTTGCATGTTGTTCACATGTAGCCCAAAACCTAAAATGCAATAAAATAAATAAATGGGAAAAAAAAAAAGAGTGAATAAAATTGACAGATTGCTTGCCAGGCTAGGAACAAAGGAAGAAGACAAATTAACATATCAGAAATGAGGCCAGGTGTGGTGGCTCACCTGCAACCTCAGCACTTTGGGAGGCTGAGGCTGGGGGAATCGCTTTGGCCCAGGAGTTTGAGACCAGTCTGGGCAACATAGCAAGATCTCGTCTTTACAAAAAAATTTTAAAAAAGAAATGAAGGTGGAGTTATCATTATTGATCCCATGGACATTAAGAAGATAATATGAACAACTCTATGCCTACAAATTTGTTAACATAGATGAAATGGACCAATTCTACAAAATAAAAAAGAAATTTAAAGGGAAATAAAACATATGCAGATTGAAAAGGAAGAAATAAACTGTCTTTATCTGCAGATGACATGACTGCCAAAGAACTGACAAATGCCTGGTGCAAAGTCCCAGGATACAAGATTAATATAGAAAAGTCAGTTGCTTTCCCATATACTAGCAATGAACAATTGGAACTTGAAATTTAAAAATACCGTTAAAATAGTAGTCCCCAAATGCAGAATGTGTCAAGAGAATTTTAAGGTATCACAAATGTATGAAACAACCTCAGTGAAAGGGATGGGGGAATAAGGTACTGACATAGGTAAATTTGAAAATGAGTGGAGTCTGTAAGACTAAAGGCAAAAGGAACTGTACATAGCACTCCACTCCAGTTGATAAAATTGTTATCCACAAGGGTACAGGTTAACAATTTTGAAACCACTATATATTTATACGATTAATAAACAATAAAATGGATGGCAGATGGTAGGAGACAGGTTTCTCACAGTTGGAGTAGAAGGTTACAGATAAGGAAGGGGAGGCTAGAATGATCCATGCAGTAACAGACTGTAGTTGGAGACACCAGTATAAATTCATGTTTAGCCTTATATAGATACGAATGGTTATATATAGAAATATTTATATTTCTATAAATACTTTATGTATAGGTATTCTATACAGATATATCTTTTTGCTATATCAACTGAGAAGGCCTAGAAGTAATGCTATCTCAGTAGCAATGAGTATATCTAGCACCCAGATCTTGTTTTTCTAACACCATTGTCCAACATAAGATGCCAGGGAGACTTGGAGAAATGATTGATTCTAGGACTCGGGAAAAAAGAAGAAAGATAAAGCTATAGCCATCTTGTAGTGCCAGAATGTAAGTACTAAAAAAACCCATCTACAACATAACAATGGGGGCATGTCAAATGAATACAGGAGCCAAATGAAAGCTCCCAGTGACCAAAACTGGAACAATTTGAGCAAAGGCATGTAAAGTGGTATTGCATTCATCCAAAATATAAAATAGTCATGAGTCTACGCTGATACAAATAAACTGAATATATAAATAAATGGGAAAGAAGAGTCAAATATCCTCTGCAGAAGGATTCCAAGCAATTTTTGTTAATAGTCTGCCTTCAAGGAAGTAATAATGTCCTACTCCTTAAGTGTGGGCTGACAAAAGTGACTTTATTCCAAAGAATACAGTACAGAAAGGGAGAAATAAAACTTTACCTTGGAGAAACCTGACAAACACCACTTCAGTCAGGTGACCAAGGATAAGAACAGTGGTAAATATATTGACGGTATGTCTCCTTTATTAGATATGATGAGAATGGCATTTCTGTGGTCTTCTTTGCAAAACATGTAACGCCTGTGTGATCACAAGACAAAAATCAAGCAAACCCATTTTGGGACATTATACAAAATAGCTGACCAATACTTCTCAAAAGTGTCAAGGTCATCAAAAACAGGAAAAGTCTGAGAAACTCTCACAGCTAAGTGGAGCTGTTGGAGATATGATAACTAAATGTAACCTGAATAGGATCCTGGGACAGGAAAAGGACATTAGGGGAAATCTGAATAAAGTATGTACTTTAGTTAATAATAATGTATCAATATTGGTTAATTGTGACAAACGTACCATACTAATGTAAGATGTTAATAATAGGGGACAGTGCATATGGGATACTCTGTACTATCTTTGTAAAAATCTGTATATTTAAAACCATCCTAAAAGTTTATTAAAAAAAAAAAAAAAAAAAACACTGTAAGCAAATAAGCTACTCAAGATCCAGGGGGGAAAAAATCACATAGGTACATGGGTCTGTCAAATGGTAAAGCAGGGCTTAACAGAAATTTCCTGGGAGACAATTCCTAAGAAAAAAGTGTCAGCAAACTAGAGATTAACAAATGAGAACAGCACAGCATCTGGTCACTCAGCTTTTTCTCCTGGCTCAATCTCCAGTATCTAAATCTGGTGGAAACAGCTATATGCAAAAATACACAAAAATCAACAAAAAACATGGAAAGGAGTGTTTTGTAAAAACTTTATAAAATATCAAGGCCCAAGTGGCAATTGTGTACTACCAATGTGGGATAGGATAATTCTATTGTAGGTAGAGAGGGAATTCACTTTTCTGTTGGGACATAGCGTTGCTTAGTCCATCATGATTTCCAGCCCACCAGCAGCAGCTGGGGCCTTAGGAGGGTACAGGATCCATGAGAAGGGGCACACTACCTGCCAAGTATGGCATTAACCAGGGAGAGTGGCACCCACCTCTCAGCTATCTGGACTTATTTCTGAGCACAGGTGAGACCTCCTTCAGCCCTCCCCCAAGTATCTGACTGGGTACTGGTTCTGCTAGTGCAAAGGGAGAGAGTAGGAGCCAGCCTAACACAGTTCATACATTCAATACCTTGATCTTCTCCACATCTCTAGGCTAGTTTTATGTCCGTTTCAGGTGTCAAGGCTGTCCCTTTCAGCAATGGAGCTGTAATAACCACTGGGTTGACTCCTCCAGCTTCCAGCCCCAGAGGTAATGCGACTTTTACCTATCATTCTATGTCCTGATAACAAGAATTTTAGGTATATCCACTGTCTTTATAAGTTCACTGGGCAGTGCGTTGGAATGCTTATGCACCATTTTCCAATGTTTTATCTTCCATTATCTTTTTGACTTAAGAAATCTGTTTTTAGAGAAAAAGGGACAGATGAACAAAAAAGAACAGAAAAAATCACCCACAGATAACCACTGTTAATCTTTTAGTGGACACAGCTTTCAGGATTGTTTTCTATACATAAATTACTAGGTAAGTATCTTGTAGTTTTAAAAAAATGTACTCATGCCATATATTTGGTTCTTCAAGTTGTGTTTTTTAATTTTACAATGCACCATAAACATTTTTCCATGTAACAGATGAAAATTTGCTACTGAGAACACCGCGTTGCAGTTGGGTCAAAAGGCTGCTAGTAACAGGCGGGATGCCTAAAGTATTACCATAAGGTTAAAGCACATGGTCTGGTATATGCCTGCCAGGGACACTACACATAAGGAATGTCTTCAATGTCCCTTCGTGGGGCCCTGCAGCCACCCCTGAACTCCCTTGGACCTCTAGGGTAGAAGGGGTCCTGTAAATTTCTTTGCATCCACAAATAGGCCCCCAATTTCTGTTTGCTTTTTCTCTTCTCATCCTCCACCTTAGCCATATTGTCAAATTCTCTTATCATGTCCTCATTGCTCAAATTCATATCGTGTATGGCCTCTTTATACTCCTTGAGGTAATGAGCCAGCCCCTTATTTGTTTTTCTTTTGGCTTTCCTGGGTACATCATCCTCAGCTGGGCGCTTCCCTGCAGCCCTTGTTTGACTCTCTGGTTCTCCCTCTCTCTCTGGCTTTCTCTCTCTCTCTGATCCTCCCTCCATCTCTGCCTCTCCTTCCTTCTCTGACTTTCCTTCTTCTTTTGCCTTTTCCTCACTCTCTGGCTTTCCTTTATCCTTTAACATTTCCTCATCTCCTGTCTTGCCCTTGTTTTCTGTCTTTCCCTCGTTTTCTAACTTCTCCTTGTCTTCCAGAGTACAAGCTACTTCTGGCTTTCCCTCGTCCTGTGGCTGTTCTTCATTTTCCATCTTTCCTTGGTTCGAAGGCATTCCTTCATTTTCATTGTAGAGTTTTTCCATGTCGAGATTTCCCCTCCTTTTCCTGTCCTGGGGGATGGGGGTGGAGGGAAGAGGAGACAAAGAGGAGACATGGGAGACTGAGAGTGTGGGGTGGAATGCAGGTCTGGACAGTACTTGCATCTCATCCCTGGTGACGGTTCCCCTAAACTGGACGTGCCTCCAAGAGGGCCTTCTGCCCACCACGTAGCCCACCACTCCTCCCACACACCTGAGCCAGCCATTGCCTGGCAGGTCCTGCCACCTTCTCTGCACTGGTTCAGCCTGGTAAGGTGCGTGTTCATGTGGGTGGGGGAATGGGCGGGGGCCCCAATTCGGCCCTGGCCAAGCCCTCCACACCCTCAACCCTTGTGGGCCCGTCCATGCAGTCCCCCCTCCTCACTCCGCTTTCACGGACCTGCGGGGATTCTGGACAGGTTGTTCCTCCTTTTCAGGCCTCGCAGAGTGCTAGGAACAACAGACCCGCAGACCTGCGGACAGACAGGAGATAGAGGTATGGGCTGCGCGCTCAGCGGGCTCACAGGAACTCGGCTCCCTTTTCTGAGTCCAGGCCCTGCTCACCCAACATTTTCTTCCCCTACCTCCCCTGCACCCCAGCCGCCATTTCTTTCCAGGCCTCGGCCACCAAACCAGGATGCTTTCCAAACTAAATTTGGGTCTCTGTGTCCTTCTCCTCAGAGGCAACTCTCCTAACCAGCTTCGCGATCAACGTTTTTCTCTACGCACGGAACGGCAGAGGGGGTTTACTTCCACTGTCTCACTACTGGGGCGTCCCCAGCCCACCATCTTCGGCTCCAAAATGGACGGAGGGCAGAGAAGAGGATGTGCCTAGAAAGCGGGCATGGATACTTGGGGGTGCTCGCCTTCCTCACCCTCTGCCCACTGGTTGCTTGATCCCCCTCAGCCACCCTTAGCGGTTTTCCCACCGTCATCTCTGTCCACACTCGGGCCAGATTCCCTCGACCCGACCCCACCCCCAGCCTTTCCCCCTACGATACCCGTTCCCCTTCCGCCATTCTAGTGTTCCGCTAGCAGCGTGGAAGGCCCACATACTGACCTGGAAGAAGCTGGACCGAGAATTAGGAGCCCAGGGACCGGAGCATACGGGACCCAGCCACAGGGACAGAGGGCAGGCACTCGGACCGGTGCCCACATCTGCGCCCGGGCAGATCACGTGAACGCCGCAGCGTTGGAGTTCCACCGCCCCATGCCCCGCCTCCTGCCCAGCCGCTTTCAGCCACCCACAACCTCTCTCCAGCAGGTACTTTCTCACCTCCCTGGGCCCTTTTGCCCTTTTCTTCTTGTTGAGAAATTGATCAAAGAAAGAATTTTAATGAAAATCACAACTTTTTTTTTTTTTTAATGAGTTGGACGGTCCGAAGGAGGATTCTTGATAATGTTGCTCTTAAATTCCATTGAAATAACGTAGACACACCCGGTAAAATCATATAAATGTGAACTTAAGTACAGTATAAAGAATAAATTATTGCACTTGAAAAAACTTAGGAAAATTTTTCCAAAGTAAATGAAATTGTCTCTTTTTCCTGACATGTACAAACATAAATTTTCGAATGAATTTTAAAAAGTTGTATTTGAACCAAACTAAAAGATCAATTAATTTATCTTCAGTGAGAAACTGAATATAGAAGAAACAATGACCAGACTATATTCAAAAATAGAACTGTAATCCACAGCCTTTGCTGCAAGCAGCTGGAGAATCCAAAGCATAGCATCTGCAGAAATTTTCAGGACTTTTATCAATTTGCTGGCCTTTCTGGACTTTTTTTTTT